CCCACCTCGAACATATGTCTATTAAAAAATATTCGACACTGATATGTTATATTATGAACGAATGCCTTTCTAGAAAAACAAAACAATAAGAAGTGGGTTTATTTCTATTCGTTTCTTTGAGATCTAGCACAAACGTCTTACAGTTTTAAGAGCATCAGATGAGGTCAACCGCTAGGGGGATGATTGTCAAAATGGGACTTTGTTGTTTATTTAATTGAAGGACAGCATTCTGTTTAGGAATCGATAACGTACACGCTTGCTCACAAGCCTGATTACAGGGCAGCTAAGACGCGAGGGGCAACTGACCTTAAGGGTCGTTTGATTCCTTGATAGTCATGACACAAATGGTGCTTTTTTTCTTTTCGATGTCTCTCTCGATGTCTCGCTATCTCTACGATACAGAAACCATCTATTGCAATTTACATTGACAAAGGCAAAGGGACGTAACTTCGTAGGGTTGTCTGAAGTCCAAAACTCGAACCTAGCTGCCTTTCTTCACTGCTTGCAGCACAATTAATTCTAAACAAAATTCACTCCCGATCTTCGCCGACCGAATCTATGGTCCGAGTAGATTGACTGAACGAGATCAAAGAGTTATGGTAACGGTCGGACAACTTCCTTCGGTCGACTTTGGCCTGGCTCGGCAATTCGTTAAGCCTGGAGGCGCAAAATAGTGCCATGGGTCCACAAGAGGCCACCCGCGCAGCGTCGGAATGATCTAGGCTATCTCGGGGCTTTGGGGGGTTTTGAGCCTGGGGTAGACGGGTGATGAACACGCCTTGGCCTCTAGTGGCGCAAATGGATTCACGTGCACACCCGCAGAGTTGACGTGGAAGCCGTAATACCCAAAGGAGCCTAGTGCATGACCTCGGCTCGGCTTGTCCTTCTCGTTCCTGGCGTTTGTCCTTCGTTGTGGAATTGTCGCCGTCATCCAAGCCAACTGCGAGGGCTAATGCTGTTCTCTTCCACATTTGCACATCCAGCACTGTCGCATTTTAGCGCTATACTAAGTGTGGGAGCGACATCGATGAAAACCTGGTGTGAACAGCAGACAACGGGAATAAGGCGGAGGGTTTTTAGAGTCGAAAAGTCGAAATTCAGCTTTCATAGAACAACGAGACTAGCTTGTATTAATATGTCACATATTTTATTTAAATAGCTTCTGATCCCGTTTTGAACTTTTAACCACCGCCGCCACTGTGAGACTATATTACATGGAGAATGACAGAGACCAACCGATGCTGAATACTATTAGCCTCCATTACATTAGAGGAGTCTTGGCATTGAGATACAACTTCACATCCTCACATGCGTTAACAACTCTTCCGGTTAGTATTTTCTCTGGAATTAACCCATGTTAAGCCGTATACACGCACATAGTCATATCGGTGATTTTTGTAGTGATTCATATGTCATTGTACTGCAAGGATCTACACATTGGCAGAGTAGGGATACTCCGAATAGAACCTACAATGGGGCGAGAACAATTTGCGAGAGTGAGCCGGTGCTGAGTACATCGTACTTCGTTCATGCTGTTGGTGGCATAGTTGTTGTGTACAATTCGAGTAGTATATGCATGCCCCGCGTTTATTGCGTGACCTGGCCTTAATCCGTTTTGTCTGAAAGCTCGAGGGGTCAGTTAGGGGCTTCATTGGTGAGCTTCAGGACCTTGTCCGCTTGCTTGCTAGATAGCGGATTGGCTTGTTGGCGTTTTAAGTACACTCTTATACAGTTTACTACACTTGTCCATGGGACGACAGTAGCAGTCCGGGGGGCAAAGCAGCGTGGGTTTGAACTCGCAGGCTCACATTGACGCAAACGTACCTGACCTTGTCCCACTGCTGCGATAAAGCAAGCCGGTGCTTCGCAGTGATCTATGTAAGTAGTGATCGTATAACGCTATGGATAGATTTTATATACGTACGTGCGCACCCGCCCAAGTAGAATAGCTAAAGCGAGTACTGCGGTACGACACATCAACTTTGTATGGGTAACCGACTCGTATAGGATTACCCTTGCAAAGCTTAAAAAAAAACATCCTCAAAGACCTTTTTCATGTAGGTCCATGAATATTTGTATGTTTACGACATGGTATTTTTTTTTTACCAACAGTCGCGGCCCTTTGAAATATGTATAGTCTTTTTACAGGTTTTCATCAGGCTGTAAACACTCCTAGTGAATGTACGTGCCAGCTTTCGCGGTAAGAGGGGCCAACGACGGTGCCTTCAAGATGCAAGAGCACTTACATGGCAGAGCACTAGGAAAGGCGAATACGTTCGCAGCTCTGGTTCTTTGTTGCTGCTGCTGAATAGACGACGATACGATTCTGTACGATACTACACAATTCATTTGGTTCGCATTTATTAAAAAACGTCGGAAATTAAGGCAAGCGTTACCTTCGCATCCCTAGATTACATTGAACCCATTGTGCTACAGAGATGATGAGAAAACGTTGGAATTAATGCAAGACGACTGGGTTTCTAAACAGAAAAGGAAAAGATTCACTTAGGGTTTAGTCGTTATACCTGGATGAACGGAATTATATCTAAACTAATTAACTATCTCTCTTGCTGAGATAGGCGAGGTCTAAAACAGCTGAAGAAAGTCCAGATTGCATTAACTGCTGATAATGCTAACATGTATATGTTGTTACAGAATATAGGCGATCAGATTCATGTCATACTGGAAATGTACTAACGTGGGCTTCACGCCATAACGTGGTGTAATCATAAAATGATTGACTCGTAGGGTGTCAGCTTGAAAAATCTGCAACGGAAGCCGATCATCCAGAGCTGGTCATCAGACGCTTGAAATACCGTTGTTGAAACAATCCCAAAAAATTGACATTGGTCCAACAACGGTTCAATAATGGAGTGTGATCCATACTGGCTTCGTTTTGCTTTTATCTTGTCTCCGGACAGAAAGAACGACCCGTATCGTTGTGTTTTCAATCCTTCTTTAATTGCATGAGGCCTGCGTTCGCGAATTGAGCATGATTGCATCCGAATACTAGGTGTCCGTTATTTGGATTGGAGTATGACGGCAGCGTCAAAGCAGCGATAGCTTATTATTAAGAAGAAGGCAGTTGAGATTCTTCAAATCTGGAAGCACTTGGCTGAAAGGCCTTATTTATGACCTAAAAACTTGGGTGCTGTGACTCACTCGAGTTTACAAGAGGCACAGCATAGAATCTCGGCTGTAGGATAGAGCTGTTGGGACGGTACATAAGACTGGGCATAAGCCGTTCTTTTTCTGACTTTTGGTTTGCCAATAGTCGACGCTGTCGTTTAGTCAGATCGTTCGTTTTGTGCCACGATGATTTTGGCTTTAGTTTGAAATCCGAAGATAGTTATGGTAGGTGGGAAGCAATAGCGGTTTGGACAACCTTTATCCTAAACTTACCAAAGTTGAAAAGTTAACGAAATAGTTTTAGCTTGTACAATGAAGGCTCCGTAGCTGAGAGGACTATTCAAGGCCGGCCTGTTGGGTTACAAATGGCACATTAAAGCTAGTCAACACATTTCACCAAACCCTTCGAACGACCGCCTATATGCATATATAAACCTACATCTTACAGGTACAGAGTCTTTTCAATATGTAGAATAACTGTGCTGGGTCACTTCCGCAGCTTTTGGCACTGGCAGGAAAAAAGTTGTTTTGATGTCAATTGACAGACCCATTTTCCGATCCATTATCCAAGTAATCATGGTTTTTTTAAATTTATTTTAACAAAACGAAAACAATAGTTCTATAGAGAAACGTAAAGTAACGAACCTACTTTTTCTTGTAATTTAATTTGCTCGGGCATTGAGTGCAGCGTTAGCGTATTTATCGTGGTACAGCGGTACGTGAGACCGCGTATTTAAACTTTATAGAGATACCTTTCTTTGTCCTCAGTCCCGTGGTGGCACTTGTTTTAATATAGTTCGACTACGGCAGTCTACTCGAGCAAACAAAAAACAATTATTAAAGTGAGCGTTTGGAGGCGGGCAGTTGAGAAGCAACATTCCCGTATCTTACTACCGTGTATGATGTAACAAAAATGTCATTGCGTCAGCTGGAATTCAGATATGCACATATCGTTGCCTCTCATCGGATTACGTAGGCTTCAAATGGAAAATTTTTTTTTAGCCCAGATGATAATGTGTGGAGCATATTTATGGCAATGACATATCGCTTACTAGCAATTACCTGTTTTGATCTCTTCATGAGAGGCATTATAGACATCTATTCATTATCTTTCTCGATGATTGTGGCAAGCGCAAAAATCAAAGCAGAGAGTAAGTGAATGTAAAGGTCTGGTGTTTTCGGTCCCATGTTGAACCATATTGGTCCCAGCTTAATTAGGACCTGATGTCTACTCTGATACCCCACGGCAATATTATATACTTGCATATTTAACGTACTTATCTGACGGCATCTGTAGAATACATTACTATACGGAAAACGACGAGATCGTGAGTCTCCTTACCTATCATAATCCGATCTATAGATCTCCTATAGTTTACTTGCATTTCTATTTTACGTTGTACGCAGTCTACAGATTATGTCGCGTACCTGTCCCGTGTCCATTAAGCTTAATTCGTTATCCGTCTCTTAGATCTGGCTAAGGAAAATTGGTGGCTTATAAACTTACCTCGAAAACAACTGAGGAACAAAACATACTCATATCTACTCAATGGTCTTTTGTTAAAGTTCCGGACGCATGTAGTTTGAAGGGAAAAAAAAAGCAAATGATATATATTTTAATCAGTTGGTCAGTTTATTATTAGAAATAACGGTTTTGACGGAAGAATGCGTTAAAATGAACGAAATATCACAGCGCTGATATATTATTCTAAAGCTACTCGTACTAATAGGAACATCTATTTATCTTTCAGCACTAACTTATAATTTAAGAGTTTGAGATATCGTTTCACTTTGAACTTAACAGTTCGTCGAAACGTTGCCGTTGCAACTAAAAGCTTGTATACGTTTTTCTTGCCGAAATCATTTAACAGGTGTCCTGGCGTAACGGATCTTCACCATTGCCCGTTAAAACATCGCGACAGACACATCCAAATGGTCTCAGCGATGTGGTAGCGATAGCGCGGTTCGTTGTTTCGCGATGGGACCTTGGAGCGCGGCTGCAGTGCGTCGTTGAAAGTCGAGCCGCTCCGGGCCGATTAAGCGGAAACGCATTGACGCTCGATGTACATGGTACGTGCAGAATGGCGGATGCTCTTAGCCATAGATATGAGGCGCTTTTTAACGCTTTTTTTTGCTCTATAATATTTTCTCTACTACTTAATAGTAAAATATGAACGTCGTCAGTTAGCCCGGGACCGCTGTTTTGAGCCCCCCACTAATGCTAAATAAAGAGACCAGTATAATATTATTGTTCGCTTCTGTTTCTAGTCTGATACATTAGAATACCAATAATATTGCGGCACTTGGATATATATCTTCGACACAGAACAAGACTCACGTATATATATATATATATATATATATATATATATACACCTGTGATACGTGATCTAACTGAAATAGTTGCGATGTTTATATCTTTTCACATTTGTTTATGCCTGCTTCTCTACGTACTAGCTAGAACGTCAACGCTCAGAATATACACTAATCTAGTTATTGATTCATAGACAACAAATAGTCAACTTCGTTCCCCCGGATGATAGAGTACTCACTGGTCTAACTAGTAATACTTGATGTCAGAACGTTCTTCTTTTTGTGTCCAACGAATCTAGGTATTGTTGATCGTAGTGTAGCCTTTGCCTAGAGATAATGGCGGTGACATGATCTCGCTTCAAGCCTTCACATGATTATTAGGCTAAAGTATACCGAACCTGTTACTTCCAGCGTCAGCTACTCGCGCTTTGTGAGGGACGATCTGGACGTGGCAATTCCATTTCAGTCGTTTTCGTTAGTTCCGCACGTGAGAACGCACTTCGGAACCATCCTCCTTGAAGCCCGGCAGGTTCCGAAATGCAGCTTGAGTCTTGCATTCGTTCTTTTGAGCGGTCAACCTATCGTTCCTTTTCTAGAGCTTTGCTACTGCGTGCAATATTGTACATCATCATAGCATCGGTTCCTCGGCCACCTTCTTCACCGAATTCTGTCGCGCATCCTAAAGCTTCCCACTGCCCTAGCTTCTACTTGCATCAACCATGTGGTGATTTCACCGTATATTCTTGCACACGTACCGTGTGTTTAACAGCACTTTTTCTCTATCCATAGTTACGTTAATCTCACGTTCATAAAGCCCTTGGTCACTGGCTTTCGGTAACCTACTTACGAATACTCGTCTTCTGTTCCTACAAATCTCTTCGCTAACCCTAACGGTTATCCTCCTCTTGCTGACACAGACTTTCCGAAGCGTTCAGTCGCACGCCGAACGATCTTTTCCATATACATCGAAGCGAACCATCCGCAGAGGGCTAAGCTAGTAGGGGTTAGGCTGATTCGTCGGAACAGATTCCAATGCAGGAAACATATCGTGCTGGGAGCACGCTGCAGGAACAGATCTGCTACGTGGAGCCGATGTGGCCCTGAACGACCAAACCGCAGTTGCCGCTCTCGACTTTATTTTCTGTCCCCAATCACGTTCGCGCAGAGTAGACGCTAGATGCGTTAGACTGCAAGTCAACGTGCGTCATGCATCTTCTATGTCCCCTAATGTGCTCGATCATGGCCGGTTAATACATACAAGCGCATAGCTTCTTCGTTAGCTGATTGAAGTTCTGGTTGTGTTGATTTCAAAACAGTGTTACGTATTGCATGCACTACTACGTAGTGACACTCACGGGTCCAGGAGGCAGAGAATATAGCGTACAGCGTAACGTGGCACGTGCAACAGCTGGGAAGAGGGGGCGACATTCTAAATATGTCGGTGTGGATACACATCAGAGACATCTAGTGCATCTAAGGACGCATGGGGCGTCACCGTCGACCGTCACTCATCCCTGACCCCCATTGCTCCCTCACCCTCTTCGGCTAACTTCGACGTAATAGGACCATCCCAGGCTATGAAGCATAGAACGTGTGGGATGCATAGTGGGCGTTGTGCCCCGCGGCGAGGCTATCCTTCCTAAAGCTATTGCGAAATGACAGCAGAAGCTGTGGCCGGTCGAAGCCCTTGCAAAGTTGGGTTGAGTCCTCATCATTTAAAAGGTATAACGAAAGCGACGATGAAAAGAACGACTTTATCTTGTGGCTTGTGTGGAGATTATGGTAGATCAAAGTACAGGGAGATGGCAATGCGACACCATGACAGCTATGGTACTGTTATTACTTTCGAGCCTGCCATGATCATCGGTATTGAATATTGGAGCGCAGTGATGCGTATGTCGCGACAGCCACCACGCGATCATCGGGTCTGCAAGCCGTTGTCTGCGATTCAGTTCCTGGCGGCCTCTGTCGCTGTGAAAGCTTCTGTTAATGAATTCAGTCGTTAGTGGGTAACAGATAGAATCAGCAAGGACAGATCCGCGCGTATGAGATTCAATCTGAGAAGTCAGAACATTCGAAGTTTAATCCGTCAGCAATTACAACGGTAATAATAATAACAACGAAAGCTGACTAATGCCAATAACACTGTTTATTAAAGGCTAGATTTGATATGTTTGTTGAATTCGTTAATTTGCTAGATTTTTGAATGGAGATTAGGTGTTTGCCGAATAATTAATTATGTCTTTTTAAGTATGGCATTTCTATTTCATAGCTTATTTACAAATACGTGTATATATATACATATATATATATATATATACATATATATATATATATATACATATATATATATATATATAATATTTCCAAGTTTCGGCAATGAACCATCTCAGTGTTAGAACCATTTAGATATATAGAGCCATCGATATAAAGTATATATACTATGACGATATATATAGGATCCTGAGATTGATTAATATAATTGTCGTATTGACCGTGCAGGACAACAACGATTGTGGATTAATGTACTTCACTCATTGCGCAGCCTTTATTCGCTTCTTGAGTTTTCTACTGTCCATTCAGGAGGGGTCGTGGAAGGGTCTATTAGGGTGCTCCAGCGTTACGTTTTAGTGTTGTTTTTATATAAAAAAACACGTGAAAACCTACCTTTGAACTGAATCGACGCATCCCATTATTGCAGAGTTTGAGCTAGATCAATTCTTTCCGGCGTTTTTTTTTCTTCATAAAAAAAACAAACAAACTATTTTTTAATCATGCGTGCTTGGTGTCTGAATGGTTTAACGATACACAAAAATTTGTCGTCCTTGAAAAGTGTGTACGAGCATGAGATCCGAAATGAAGAAGAATGTGTAAGATACGGTTTATTTTCTAGTCTAACCTAACAAAAAAAAACCCGTCTCGCTATTCAAGATTGACGCTAAAGAAACAACAATGATGACATTTACCTACTTATACGTTCGCAGCTTTGTATTGGTATTATATTAGGTATAGAGCACCGTTTTCTAAAACGAAGTTCATTACAAGAAGCAATCGAGTTCTTGAAAGCCTTCCGACAGCACGATGTAATTTTTACGTCATTAAAGATATTTTTGTTTGTGCTTTTTTTTTTTGATAAGTCTTCAAGCGCTTTCATACTAATTCTTATTGTGGATCTTCGGATTTGTCATCTTGTTAGCTTTTCGAATTTTTCATAGAAACTGACAACAACGCCAACAGTCAATTTCGGGCAACTAAAGACATTTAGAATTTTGTTGGATGTTTTTCCAGTGTCAAGATATAAGACAACAGCCGGTCTTTGTCCTTATTCCAAGGGCAAACTTGCTGCCAACGCTTATGCTTAGTCGCAACATTTCATCTAACACTCGAATCATAAAAACAGCGATTGTCAAGTATATTTAATGGGCTATTTTATTTTGGTGACCTAATTATCTGCTTTGTCCTGAATTTCAGTCCGTCCCGTGTCCTTGAATCTGCGTGGGCCAAGTCACCCCGTTGTTGCAGGTGAAATGGTCTCATTAACATGCGTCGTCGACGGTGCTAAGCCTGCCGCCAACATCACGTGGTACAACAGGTTGGTTCACGTAATAAAGCATATTTGTTTTTATCTATTCATTTTACGAGCTAGGTAAGGAGATTTGTCTATGCAGATCGAATCACAGGGCCGAAGGGTTTTTAAATACTCGCTGAGGCGCGCGCTCGCGTTTAGCGTACACCCGTTCGTTCTACGTAAAATCGTCATACATGAACTAGACTGGTCATGTTAAAGTCTCGATACAAGTATACCAACAACAGAGTGCAATTTGTACTAATCAATATATAGATACACGTAAAGCGAAGCACAAGATATCCAACAAGGATCAGATCTTTCGCATTGTCCTACCCTATACTTTCCTCACTTATTTTCTATCGATTCCCTGCCAGTAGACGCAACATAGCATCTTGCCACTGTCTTAGCATACGAGCCTAAGCCGCCTGCGGGCAGTGAAGCATATACTCTCGCTAGCTAGCACAAAGGTCGAGTTTGGCAGGAGACTTTGGAAAAAGCACAAGAACCAACGACCAAGTGGCAACGTCGGCGACAACAATATATCGTCAATTAATAGCGACATCAAAAACGAGCAGACCAAAAATAACCGCCGTACTCTTTACGAGCCTCGCCAGTGTCGCTGTACTTCTTACTTCTCGAATCCTCTCTTGCCATTATGCGCTGACCCGTTTGTTCTTTCGCACCCTGTTCGTCTATGGTAATATTGCCAACAACGCTACATTTTTTGGTTTTGCCTGCCTCGCCTTTAACGGGCTTTACTTTCTGCGGTTCTCACAGACACACCTACGGGTAGTAGCAGCGGCAAGCTGCGACGCTACGATCCGTTGTCTTCTAGCTGGTGCAGCTGTCGCTGTCGTAACTATCATCATCGCTAGCTTTGTCCCACGAAGTAAATAATAACAACAACGACGAAGACAATAATAATAACTACCTTCAGTTCCAAACCTAGCGTACTTTCCGTTGTCGTCTCAGTTTGTTTCGTGTATAAACCGTTTGTCTGTTCGCGCCGTTGTTCAGCTTGGCGGTACTACTCGAAGCTTGTAAGAAGCGAACGTCTTCGGCCTCTTTGCCACTTTCTCGCGTCTCCTTCGCGCCCTGAGGGCGAAGTCTGGCAAGCGAATACGCGCGAGGGTGAGACCAAAGTTCGCTGTCGTCGACATCTCCTCAAGCGTCACCGCTACCGCAAACAGCGCTGCCTGTCTTGCACAGCTCAAGCGTTCGTTCATTGGGCCCTACACCCCGCCACACATGGTTTGTTGTTCTGCAATGGATGGGGTTTCATCGACTGAGTTCGAGGGGTAGCTTTGTACTCCCGCAGGCAGCATCAGTAATAGCGTCATTGTTGAAGCGTTGTTTGCTCTTGCAAGAGCTAACACGAGATTCGAAGCGCCCACCGGCGAGGACAATCGACACCCATAAGTGTACCCAGTCCTGTCCGGCCACCAAGTGCCGCCTGGCTAGCCTAGCCGCCGCCTTTCGTAACCATATTGCTGCCGCCATCTTCGACAGGGTGCATACCGACCCATCGATCGTTGACTGCCTGGTGAGCTGCCTGGGTTTCCGGTGCAATACTTACACTTTTGCTGGCCATTCAGAGGACTAAGTCGTCTTCTTCTTCTTTCGTTAGCCTTTTTCTTTTTACTGGGGTTCTGTTTGGTTCTCATTCCTTTTGTTTCCCTATGCGCCTAACGCCGGCCAGAGCTTTCGCTCTCCTCGCGTCTCTGTGTCAATACGAGTAAATAGCCCATAGGGGGTTTGTGTGATACACGCTCATAAGGTGAGTGGCTGCTGGCAGTAGCGGTTGCGGCGAGCTGGTGGTAAGTTAAGGTCGAGTCATTTCGTTTCGATTCGGTTGCTCGATGGATTGACGGGCAACGGCAACGATTCGGTCGTGGTTTGGCAACTGTACGCGGCTCTCTTTCTTTTTGCTAGGTTAGGTGCCGCAGTTCCCTGACTAGCTTGCTTCTGCTCGTCCCCGAGGCCATGTCACCTCCTCTTACTGCCTTCGACAAATGCGTGACAGCCTCTAGAGAACGTCGTAATCAAATGCTTCGAATCGCTGGCTGGCTGGTTGGGTGGCCGGCCGGCCGGCCAGTTGGCCGGCTGGTTAGCAGCCTGTCGACCTGCCTGTCCTTTGGTCCGGTCTCGGCGCCTACTTTGAGTGGTAATAATGGTGGGCTCGTGTAGTTCGCCGCTGATGGTAATCTAATCGTTGGGGTAATGGGAGCAGAAAACGACTCATTAGTGCCAATGCCAACCGGGGCAACGTTATTTGATTGTATTGTAGTAGTAGTATGTAGGTAAGAAAAATCAGAAAGAGCCAGCGGTGGTTAAAAAAGGAAGTGAAACAATTCTCCGCAAGATAACTCTTCATGCTCAGTTAAATTCTTAAAAAACAGAAAAAAAAAGTAGTGGTTAGGGAAGTGCAAGTTACGGAATGCTATAAGCATGCTAATTGCATGAAAAGTTCTTTAACTCAATAGTTACAAGTGTTGTACAAATGGTGTACTGTTGCTCATAATGGAATATTGCTGCATAACTGTTTGTCAATATTGCTGTGAACATTAATGGCTTACAATGTTATTATATAATGATCGACGCGGGGGCTTGGCTGGCAAAACCTCTGAGAAGAGTGCTCCCTGCTTCAAGTCCTGAAATCGACTCAAGAATACTATACAATTGATCTAAATAAAAAAAAAAACTATTTATATTATGGTTTAGTTACATATTGGCTTCTACTATAACAGTTATAGTTCTGAGACTTCCTGAAAGGCGTTTAGATCTATTTGGAGAATGTCAGAGTTGGTACATTTCCAAATTCTTTTGTAGCTACATAATGACAGCAGTGATTTATAAGTGTCGAAGATCTTTGAATTATTATGATTTATTAGAACAATAATTTCTCTCTCCCTTCTGTCCGCAAACCAGTAGAACAGCTATTTATGATTATACTCTCTTCGTCCTTCACAACAAGTGCTTTACGTGACTTATGCACAGACATCTCCACCAATCGTGTCATCAATTCCAGCTATGTTGACGTCTTTAGTCCTCCTAAAGAACGTCTTTGCTAGGCTTCTTCCCATGGAACGCTCAGAGGTAGCGCTTAAGTGCAAAGGGTCGCAGAAGTTGAGAACGACCTGTCCCTATAGCGGTCTGCCTGCTTTTTTACCTCACGGGTTACCCTCCGTGCCTATTTTCGTTTGCCTCTCGATCTCCAGCTCGTTGCTCTCCGCTACTTCGCAGTCTCACCCTGTCACAGTCCTGTTGAGCCTCGAACTTCTTTTCTGAGCGTTCCCGCTACTACCACTGATGCTGACCGAAGCTGAACATGATTTGTTGAATTTTAATAATGTTGATCAGTGATCATCAGCAGGATCCATTTCGGGTTGTCTTTCCGCTCATGCAGAGTCAGAGGACGAGGCAAAAAGACCAGCAACGATCAACGACCGACCAATGACAGCTACGACCGATCATTTTGGGAAGAGAGGAAATTATAGGGGTGAGTGACTGACAAAATCAAGCGAGTTGCGTGCGACGGAGGGACAATTCACGACAACGATATAGATTCCGGCGTAGAGATACATATTAAGCAGTTTAGTCACATTTCTCCAGAAGCAGTCGATCATTGGGACCTCTCCCTCCAGCTTCAAAGCTCCCTTCATGCAGCCCATGCATACTGGCTAGATTTGAAAATTCTTTTAAAATCCCCTCGATAGCATGTTCTATCCTGGCATAGCTAGACCTCACGATGCCACCGTCACTAATGGATGGAGAGGACGCTTGCCCCTAAATAGGCCCGTTTCAATGCCTCTCTTACTCTGGACGATCGGGCAGCGCCCAGTGCTACCGTCACAGTAGAACAGCAAGAATGGTTGCAGCATAGGACCACGCTATATTTTAATGAGCTTATCGGAGGTACCCCACGCGCTTTTTTCGCTGGCCGACCCTGTGCCGGCTGTGCTGACTGAGGCCTAGTCTCTTTCAAACCCTGGCTGAGCTCCGTCTATTTAACAGCATTAACGGCAATACTGTATGGTACAAAAGCCATCGCTGCTGTTCGAGCATTGAACAGATACACACTAAACATACACACACAGGCTCACATATAGTAAAATGGGGCCGTAGCCAACCCAACTATTGTACGTCGCTTTACACAAGATTAGAAGCAGCAGCAGCAGCAGCAGCAATACCAGCGTAGCAAAGGCAGAGGAAGTGTACGTTACAGTGCAGGCAACTCACCCTCGATTAAAGCTTAGCAGTCGCCGGCATAAGTCCGTTGCGTTACTTTGCAAAGCCCCTGTTTCACGGTAGTTTGTCTGTGTCAGTGTACACTATTTGTAAGCCTTTCATTATCTGAATAGAATAATAATAAAGAGTTTAGACAATGATAGTCATGATTATACGTTGTATATGTGCGTTATAGGCGAACGTGAATTTGTGTGTGCGTGTGTGAAACGGGGTGGGGGGTATCTCCATATGTACCGGTTTAGTCCTGCTACCATGCGCGTACTATTTGGAAATCGACATTCTGTTGTATGTGGCCAGACAACGCCTGAATGAAAACTGTTATGCACCGCTATAGTCATAACAAGAACAATTGTCTCGTAAATCGGTGCGGACTTGTCATCGTGGTCGGCAGTGCAGAAGCAGCGGTGTCTCTGACTGGGAAACCGAAGGCCACTACCTAATTAGAATTGAAAAAAAAAAGCGCTGAGACTAAGAGAGCTTTAGTCATTACCATTCGCTGGGAAGACTCGTAACGTGTTGCTATTTACCAGAAATTTACTAAACTACTCTTTATTTTGAGGCAACACGTTGACGTAATCATAACCTCTTTGACCTTCGGGCATCAATCACATTGATGCCGTTTGCTAGTGGCCAAATGTGCACAAATATATCTACACACAAGTTTTGGTCACAGGTGATAAACGAGTCTATAGCAACGTATTTGCGTAAACGGCACTTGTGTCCATTTATATGCACAAGGATTATCACTTAATTGGCCTGAACTGGCCTATAATTCAAATTCTACAAAAAATTAAAACACAACGATTTGAAACAGAATTCAACATCCCTGCTGGACGTATGCTTAAGATAATGGTATCTTCTGTTGACAATATATGAAGGCGGTTCAATAAAATAACCATTAGACGAGTTTGCACTTTAAATTATGCTGTTCTTAACCGAACTATTACTTTTTCCTTTGCTTATTCTTTTACGTTAGATCGGAACTGGTGAGTCCGCAACCCGTGTCGACAGAAGAGCCTCTTGAGGATGGCACCTTCCGGACGACTTCAACGATCGTATTCATCGCTACACAGTTCGATCATCAAAGCGAATACTTCTGTAAAGGTATGCCACGATTTTATATCATTTTGCCCACTGTTTTCTGCACCACATATGATACAAGCTATTGCGAAAGCCTTTATTTTTTACTCTCTCCTTATATATGTTCGTAATTCCGTGGTGAGGTGTCACACAATTGCGCGCGGAACAATTTTCTTTAATTTTTAATGGTATTATATCGCAGTATCTAGATCAAAAAAAGAATATGCAACCGTTGTCACGGTGTAGAAGTTTTTTTTACTTGAGACAGGCCAATAAATTTCGAACACACCACTTCCAAGCACCTTTATTCTTGTACAAATTAGACCGAATATAGGTCATAGATTTCCGATAACATACAAGGCTGCAGTCCATTTTACCTACAGTCCAAATTAGTAGCTAAATCACAGTTTACATGCTGATGGACTAAACAGCAGTCCGTATCTTGGGTGGCTTCATCGATATACACTTCGCGACCTCAACGGACCCATTGCGCAGCCGCCGTGCACCGTAGCCTTCCTGATCTGAGTCTAGCGTCGTTTTTGAGAAGCTCAAAAACGCCAAACAGCTTACGAACCTCGTCCGTTAACCTAATCATTCAGACAGTTTTCAAAAAAGCGGTTTCAGCACTGTGACAACCCCTTCGTTTAGGTTGCGGCCGTGCGTCCACGTCTTCTGTAGTAAGCTGCGGACCGCAAGCCACCAGTTTGTCTAAGATGGATTTGGTCCACGGCTTGTTTTGTTGGGTTGTATGTACGTGACTACTCTCGGCCATCAACGCTTCACTTCAGGGACGGGTTCTATTGCTACGAAAATACCCGATGATCTACCAAGACAAGATCGAGACGGACTGGCGTATGGCAGCGATTTGCGTGTCATGGACTGCATCGCGCGGTGCTGGAAAGACCGACTTAAAAAAACGCAGTATCATTCTGTACAAGGAGTTCAAGGTTTTCCAGGAGGCCTTAAGACGGTTAGTGGCGGTATTCGGAGGATTCAAGCTCTCGACCACTTTCCCTTTAACCCCTTAAACCTCGAGCTTTTGAACCGGTTAGATCGCGGATCACTTCTCTAACGCAAGCGTGTCAATAGCGTCAGTAGCGTTGGATAACAGCTTTAGCTACTCCGGCTAGTTCTGCTGACAAGCTGAAGACACAAATCTTCAGTTTAGTAGCGTACCACGAATATATAGAAAGAGCCGCGGAAGCATATAACCTAGCATTGGCCTGCTTAGCTAACGCGGCCGTTCCGGCTCCTTTCGCGCTGTTGCTATACCGAAATTGAAAACTTTCGATAAATCGTAAAGAGTTAGAAATTGCTCAGTGGTTTAATGCTATGGGAAAGCGGCAAACAAAAGAGAAGGTGGCTGAAAAAGAACCAGATCTGAAGGCCGCACAGCATGGCAAGAAAGTGGGTACATTTTGGCCCTGCTGGCATCATTTAAAATGAAAAGCCATTTTCCAGATAGATATTTGCCGACAACATTATAAAGCAGTTGTTTGCTGTGAAGAAAAGTGTTACATTGTATGTGCGCATAACAGTACTGAATGACTATAGGTGTTTAGACGAAAATGCGGAATGGGCGTGTAAAAGCATTGGATCTCGAACCTGTCGTTGTTTATAAATCTGACGTAAGAAGATGGCTGGATATTTTACTATAACTATCATTGTTGTTGAATGTGGAGGGGTTATAAAATGGATTCAACAGCTGTTTACTCTGAGCACGATATGCTTCATGCTAACCAATGGCAAATACACGGAGGAAAAATCGATTGATGATAGGTGGTGTTGCCTTATGGCGAGTAACCTAGTTTTCGGTACCTGTCGTTCCAAACGCCGCTAAATTGGCTCCCTGTACTCCCGTAATAAGATGCGCGCAGTTTTCCTGTGTAAAAAACAAAAGGTATGATTGAGTGACCGATAGTGCATTGAATTTCTGCTTTGCACGACTACCTCCTGTAGCTGGCTTCGACGATTCAGTGATGCCAGGAGCCGGACCAGTCTATGAAGATCTATATATATATATATACTCACCTGTGGTTCTCAGTTCCATGACAGCATAACAATTTTCATTTCATGTAGAGACTATACATACAACTACAAGTCTTATGCGGGCCTTAAATTTTAAGTTCGTTTGACTCGAAATACAATGCTCTTCTATAAACCTTCCAAGAACATAATTCCAACGAATGGTACATAGAAAAATGACTATCAAAGAGAACGTTGCCGCTTTATTTGTCAACTATCAGTGCGAGTTTACATAATATCATGGCGGAGGCTCCAACAGACATTTTTCTCCTGGTTCGTGTAGAGCATTAGAGTCTTCCATCAGAGTGATTCTTTTGATAGAAGTGGTCACCACAAAACAACCCTTCGACATCAATTGAAACGTTGAACCTACTTGACTTATGATAAGTTCTGCACAACTTGTGAAGAACAACAGCACGGCTTAATACCTTTGTCATGGTACAGAGATCTGCCCCATTCCAAACATCTCTTCGAGATCCATATTTGAGGACTAGCTCGCCCTATCTTTTCTTCTGTTTCTTCCTCGAAGATCTCATAAATGACCATCGAAAATTTTCGCTTGTCAATTAGCCTTCAAGAGCCGATAAGCTAGAGGCTAATGGAGAGAAGCTGGACAAGAAAAGTGGTCTTTACAACGCGAACCGTCAATCGCTTTCAGTTTGTGCGACAAAGGCCTAGTCTAGAGCGTTCCCAATGATACCCTGCGTCAGGGGCCCTAATAATAGTCGAAGAAGCGTCTGTATTTGGTAAGTATCTCCTGCGACGATGGTAGTTTCAAAATGTTTTTGGAAAAGCAGAAAGATCAGGCCATCAAAAGGTGCTCTTCGAATAGCCTGTAACTTTTTCTTAGCACGAATGTTCCTCGAAGGCGATAGAAAATACGTTTTTCAAATGCTGTGTTAAATCTTGCTTAAATTGGCTCATACTTACTAATTGGCATTGTAAAGAAGTACTTTGTCTATGTAACGTGAAAAAGTTACGTGTCTCATTGTTATTTCGAATTTCAGGCATGAACCAGGTGCTAAAGAACCGAACAGAGGCTCCACTTTTGCAAGCGGTGCGGCTAGAAGTCCTCTGTAAGTGTTAGTCTAGAGTATTCTTTTAATAAAATATGTTAGACTGCGACCGACATTTAGCTGACAGGCATCACTATTATGAACACAGTCATTTTTGCGCTTTCGTACGGTCTTTTTTGAAGAGTATTCAATATTAAAGAAACGGCTTGCATAAATCTACACAAACGGAAGTCTGTTATATCTTCTCTTCGAGCTGCTGCTGCTGCTGCTGCTGCTGCTGCTGCTGCAACTGCAACGGTAGCAGCAACGTGCGACTGAAAATGGTGACATCGTAAATAATGTACGGGTATTTTTGCAGACTCTAAGATCTTTCCCATGCTATTAACTATGGGTCTTTATATATGTATAAACTATATGTCTTGATACTACCGGCGTATTATGTTTATGCTCGCGGGAAGACTCTCAAATTGTCCTAAATATAAGTACACCTTCTTGGGTGCACACGCATGGTGGTGTGCGGTACGTGAGTTCATTGGATCTTGCGGATACATCTGCTCGCATACTAACAATCTGGCAAATTTCGTTCATTGTTCTAAAGCTTAAGTAACAATAAATTTAACTCAAATACGAACTACTTCATTCCATGTTCAACAGGAACGAACCTAAAAAGCAAGTTTGACGTAATGCGCATGGAAATTCATGGTCGTATTACTCAAAGAAGTACCCGAAGTGTTCTGTACGGACTTCGAACATAATATATGAGGATAGATACAGAAGCATTATATGCGAAGTTGTTCCAGTCGTGATTCAAACCTTTACCTTCAATGGTATTCATCAGAGCCGTTTTTCGGTCCAATTCGAAGTTCAATTATTTGGAATTGTGGCAACTGTATTGCTAGGCGTTTCGCCGAATAAATTGAAACACGATGACCGACGTTTGCGAAGGCCGTGCACTCGTTCCCTCACGAGAACGCCTCACCTCGTAGTAACTGCTAAGTCTAGCCCGCGAAGTTGCTTCACTTGTTCTTTATGCCGGTTCCGTTCCCACAAAAGCTGCTGGTGCTGCCCCTTCACCACTTTGAATTATACTTTTTGTCGTGCAGATTTCGATTAGTTTGCAGGGGCCCCTAGTCAAGCGATCCAAATAGGCAAGCGACAAGCCTGTCTATGCGGTGCAGCATCTGAGTGTATTCTAATCGTAGCAGTGCGAAGATGCACAGCCGCAGATGCAGCTGTTGGCCCTCACCAGCAGCTTTTCGCCATAGGGCAAGAAGCCTTGAGATAATAGTTAGGTATACGTTTGCTAGGTATGGTTAGTGAGTAGGAATCATAGCTAGTTTCTTATTAAAGTCTTGCTTTGTTCTGGTTGCTCTTTATATCGTATGCGTGGACTGCCGCGGTGATCGTTCTTTCGCTATTTGCTCATCTCCATTCGTCGACTGTTTCGGCTTTCGGCCTTCCATTGTTGTCCTGGTCGTTATGCGGTGACCAACTATATATTACAACATGCGACCTTTGCTTATCAACCCACGCGCCGACTTGGTCCTACCGCCCGTTCGGTTATTCGCGGCCTATGCGCCAATTTGTCTGTTTACCTTCAAAACTACGACCCCTCGGCTGCGGATCTCAGATCCACCAGCTGTGATTATGCGGCCCCTCGAGGGTGTGAACGTGTCTGAAGGCCAGGCAGCCAACGTGAGCTGTCAGTACAACGCTAACCCGCCAAACATTAGCGAGGTGACATGGTATAAGGATGGGCACGTTCTGGCCGTTGACCGACGACGGCACGACCGCCCGCTGCTGCGTCATCAGGTGGCACTATTTCGTATACACAACGTTTCTCGTGACGACCAGGGCGCATACAGCTGTCATGTACGGAACGCATTTGGAACGGGCAATTCGTCGAACGCGATTCAGCTTGATGTGTTCTGTAAGTACACGTAATTACGAGTTTGTATTATTAAGTGTTATAAGTTAGTACTATACGTATGTATATATATAATGGAACAAACGCTTTAAATGACTTGAGGATCCTCATTTTTCAAAATTAAAGTAGAGGGAAAATGAAATTTAGTGGAAATAAAAATGAAAAAGAAATGAATACTGTTAAACTGTCAAGTGATTTCTTCGAAACTGCTAATAGTTGGGTGTTCCAGTAGTAACCATAAACATGCGCTCATTGTCAAAAAGGGTTACATAGGCCTGTTGGATAGGTCATAGTTAAGTGTAGCAAGACTCACTTGGGTTAGACGTATCAGTCGGGATAAACTCATAATACTATATCGGACAGGTGATCACCAGTTAAGTGGGGCAACTATTTCACGAGTATAAGAAAATGACTTAAACACGTCAAAGCATTATTCATCATGCATCTTTAAATCAGTTAGCATATTGCAATCCAATTACCGAAAAATGAAAAAAATTATCTCAACTGATGCCTAAGGCAATAACTGTGACGGCTTTCCATAATAGTAGTACAGGTTTATGCAGAAAAACGAGTGGCAGTTCGAGCCACTATTGCTCACGATATCCAAGCATAACACTACCATCTTCCTGATGAATCGTCGTGTCACTGGCAGTAATTTGCTCAATAAGCTTAGCTCAGGTTTACATGGAGCGCTCTGCATATTAACGGCGTTGGTTGTCATTCCGCAATACACAAGTACACTTACGTACGTACCCATATATCTACCCGTCTTCCTAGAGAATATCACGGCAGCATACTGATGAACACGGAACAGTGCAGTTACCGATGGGGGTCGATAGAAATAGGAACACACACCAGACACTTTCGCCCCCTATAGCACACTAATACTTGGGTGTACATAATCGCCTGCTGTTCATTGGAACGTGGACCAATGTCTTGAGAGACAAGCGAGTCCGTGTAGGTTTTGAGCGATAGGGCACACAATGCCTTTATATAATATAAGGATGATGACCGCGCGGCGTTGCTGCTGCCACCGCTGTGGTTTTTACTATCGTAGCTTCACAAAAAAACCAGCAGCAGGTCTCACTCTGCGCGCATATATGTATCGGTTACGCTAACTGCAGCAGCTGCGAGGCCGCCTGCGGCACCCGGTGACACGCCCGCATCCTACTAACAGACCCTTGCCAAAGCCCTTTTCCATATCAGGTCCTGTACACGACGCGCGTCCTTTGCTACTATCCCTCAGTGTTGAAGTCTTGACGTTGTGGAGAAAGCCCGTCGGGTGTCCCGCAAGGACCGATGCAGGAAACCTGGCTACCACTTATCCGCGTAATACTGAACAACGTCATCGGTCTAGGCGCTCCGCCTACAACAGCCTGTTCCCCACTCATGTGCCTCTACTCCCTGGACACCAAGCTTTCTCTATATTTCTCTCACCAGCGTGCTCACTTCTTATTCCCTTCACTGGGTTGCCCTTCCCCTAGATGCCCACCATTACGCATACAGCCATCCCAAACTATTCCTATCTATCGGTTTTGGGACAGTGCGCCCTATCAGGTATAACACGGAGCCACTTTTACACAGCGCGCTTTGTCGACCATCACCATTTATCGGGTCAAGCTTAGATAGACACGTCGATGGCAAGAGATCGACAGGAACGAGCTAAGATACAGAACCGTAAGGAATCGTCTAGCAAACCATCAGAAGTGTCCGATGCTTTGTTCAAAATTTCGGAATAAACAACCCTGGCGTTGAGGCAAAGCCGATCGTTTATTGAAAATGCCATGGCTACTATGCTGTCGCTGTGAGTATAGTGGCCACTTGGTTCATCTTAGGAGTACAGGGAATGGGGGATAGCGGGGTTATTGGAGGTTCTATAGGGTGGCCTCAAGCAGCGGAGCGCATTTAAGACGAGAAAAGACGGGCGTTTTAGCTGAGCAGAAGAAGTGCAGACCAGGCGCCTTCATTTGGCTAAGGAAACGTTTCCTACCTTCTCCCTCGCAAAAAAGGGGAGAAGCCGAATACCTTCTTTGCGTTTCTTTTTTGTCAAAAGATTGAGAACGAAAGAGGTTCGAAAAAAAGAAGCAGCTAAGCTAGCGGAAGCGATGCTCGAGCCAAAAAGACTGTCGACGGACAGCTGGCGGTCCATGAGCTTGCGGTGCTGTGAACTAGCGCTGGGACGCGCGCTATAACGTCGACTACGAGAACGTTGTGCTTCAGCCAGCTCCCCATGGCCTATGGCTCCGAACATGCTCAGCATTGCTTTTGCTGCATAAACGCTGAGCGTCTCGTTGTGTGTGCCCGAAGGTGGAACTGTGTCTCTGAATGTGTTCACGCGCCCTGCTATTGCTCTTCGTCGCAGTTCACTTCTGAGCGTACGCCGGCTGGCTAGAGAGACGGGTGCCTCTCGCCGGCCGCACTATGGCCCCTGCAAGGCAAGTGACAGATTCAGGACCCAGTCTAGTTTCTACATTCAGGATTTTAGCGGCACCTCGTCCTTCCACTTCCTCTGATACTTTTTATTTCTCGCCACTCTCTTTCTCATTCATCCGCTTCTAAGGCGGCTGATGGGCGAACTCCTCATTCAGCCACTCCCAACGCTTGGCCTCCACATTTAGCCTGAGCAGCGACGGCAGTAGCACAGTCGCTGAGGCGAAGTCCTCTTAGTGTGAGCCATCCGCGGCAGTCGTAGCAATATGTGGGTATTTCATTCATTCGCGAAAATTTAAAATGCTTCTCGCGTGCTTTGCTCTCTTTTGCTGTGGCTGGCTATCTGGCGGCTCCTAGGACGGTAAAGCACACATACACACGTGTTTCGAAGACACATTTAGCTATGTTCTGCCTATGCAGTATAATGCCCACTACCGCGGCAATGACGCTGTTCACGGCCACTTCGTTCTAACGGTCACAAATCTTTTCTACCCCGACCCCTCTTTCCTCCGAGCCTAGGCCTGCTCTAAACCTCCTTTTACCACCTCAACTACAGCACCGTTCTTCGGCCAAGCTTCGAAGCTGCGAATACTGACCGCCGTCATCACGGCGACAGCGATGGCGGTGGAAGAAAACGGAGACTCACTGATCCGCCGTGCTTTGACTAGTCGGTTTCAATCGAGGGCAAGTTGAATCTCAGGACGGAAGACCGGTTTGAGCTGAGAGTGAGCGCTCTTGAGCCGCCGTTACCAAGTAACTACAACTGCTGCAATTGCCGCAGCCATCGTGGCGAAAGCCACTGGTTTCTGATCAGCGGACGCTTGGGCGTTTGGTTTCGACCCCCTGTTTCTGCTGCCGTAAGTCAAAAAGAGACTTAGACTCAACGTTTCATTCATCTAATTTCTTTCTTCGTTTCTCAAAGCTTCCGCTTCGGCTGCTGTTGCTGCTGCTTTGCGCAGCAGCGCATAAATCGACTGTAGCTAACGTTGCGACAGTCAGTCGACCATCATAGCATACAGCCCAAACTACCTATACATACACCCTTGGACCCCAAGACACACGAACGTACAGCGTTTCTCTATCTGTCAGCAGGCGTATGAGGCGAACTCTGTCCAACTGTGTGCGTTCGTACGGAGAAAAGCACAAGAAAAAAGATA